CGAGCTCAAAGAAGACAGCTTTAGTGGTTAGTGCACCAGATCCCTAAAAAATAATCGAAAAGTCGACCGCTCAGACTTAGCCAACTTGTTCTCCAAAATAATGAAAACCATTGTGACCTGCCAGCTCATGAGGTTGAGGATCACCAAATTAAAAGTGACCGCCAGTACAATTTCCGTCGGTGTTGCTCAGCTGGTGATCTTCTCTGGCTTACCTGACTCATAAATCAGCGGAGGCGGAGAAGGAGACCCTGGCTGTTTGAACATAACGAAGGCCTTCGATCGGGTTTGACACAATGCGCTTCTTTCGAAGCTCCCTTTCTATGGGCATCCCGAGAATTTGTGTAACAGGATCGGCAGTTTTAGTAATTGTAGTAGAAGGTGCATGCTCCATTTACTAGCCTATTTATGCTGGTGTTCCACAAGGCTGCGTGGACCATACCTACGCTGTTTCTTCTGCTTATTAATAATACATTGCGAGCAAGTAACGTGCACTGGTGATACTTTATACACCGGTTGTGCTTATATTTCTCGGGAAAATGTCGCCGAGTACCGGAACAAACTTGTATCTGAAGTCGAGTCTTTGCCGAATAAGGTCTCGGATTGGGGCGACTAAATCTAATTAAGGTCAATTTCCAGACGTTTGCGCGTTTGCTACTAAAAAGAACATCTTTGTCGTTACTCCTCAATTTCAAGGCACTCCCCTTGTTACTACAGCCAGTATCGGAATCTTCGGCGTTGACATATCGAAAAACGTGCAGTTTCGTGCTCACTTGGAAGGGAAGGCTGAATTTGCCTCTAAAACGCTTGGCATGCTCAGCAGAGTGGGACAGTATTTTATGTCGGCACACTGCTTGCAACTTTACAAGGGACAGATTCAGCCTAACGTTTAATACTGTTCTCAACCCTGGGCCGGGGCTTCCTAGTACCAGTTCCTTCCACTTGACCGCAACCAGAGCAGAGCGGCTCGAATCGTCGACGACCGACGAAGATTAAAGTCGAAACTAAGAGATATTGCATCCCATTGCATTTTCTATCGCATTTACCATAGGAAGTGTTCAGAGGAATTGTTGGGATTAATTCCAGCCACAAAATTTCATCAACGTATTTCACAAATCCACATCATCGGGATGTTTGGCAGTCCACTACTGTCCGATTTTCGATTCGATCATTTCGATTGAAATGATTTTCATGCTAAAATAACCGTGTATATATTTAACCCTTATTGAAAAGGTTTTAAGGTACTATTTTGTACAACAGGACTAACGGCTGACTACTGGATTTGTAGACCCATTGGTCAATTGGTAAAATACACTTTTCGCCTTATAAGGGTTAAACCCAAAGTAATGAGCAAAATTGGTACTATTCGTTCTGTTAATTTCAACTACATATAAGAAATTCACGAAAAAACCAGTAGTCAGCCACTTATGGCTGACTACTGGATCTTCCCTAAAAATTCGAAACCCACTAGTCGGCCATCTATATTACAACATTTGACATTCTGACACCAATTGTTACGAACACCAAGTTCGTAACAATTGGTGTCAGAAGTGGGATCAAATATGCCGATTTTACCTAAAAACGACAAGGAGGGTATCCATACCGGACGTCAATGCCAACAGGATACGGACCAGAGACGATTTGGTGGTGCAACGTCACAGATGTCGGCGGGCCAGCTGCTGACCACGGAGGCCGGCCCGTCAGCAGCTCCTGAATCTGCAGCACCTGACTTAGGTGCTCTGATGATGATGCTGCAGGAACAAGCTCGGCGGTTGGAAGAGCAGCTGCAACGCGGACAGAAGGAACAGGCCCACCAACAGCAGAAACATGCCCGCCAACAGGAGGAACAGGGCCGTCGGTTGGAAGAGCAGCTCAAACGCGATAAGGAAGAGCAGATACTTCTCATGAAGGACCTTCACGCTACCTTCGGGAAAGAGATAAGGGAGGTGAAGAGTAAGGTTGCTTAGTATGACAACCGCTTGTCAGAAGCTGAAACCTGAATCGATCAAGTTTACAATCGGGTTGACAACGTGATGGCTCACCTGAAGAAAACGCTGGACGACCTCAAACTTGGGGATGGAGTTACAGCTCCCGTAGTTGCTACAACACCTTCGCTACGTGGATTCAAAGTGCCACCGTTTGATGGGACTTCTTCCTGGTTGGCCTACAAAATCCACTTCGAGGTTGTCAGGAAGGCCAACGGCTGGAATAAAAGTCAGGCCATGACTGCTCTGGCCCTAGGCCTGCGCGACCAGGCCTTAACTGTTCCGGAAGCTCTCGGTAAGGAAGTGACTTACGAGCAGCTCCTTGAGGCATTAGAGGCGAGATATGGCGACGCTCACCTGGAACACGTCTTTCGTGCACAGCTCAAAGATCGCGTGCAACGCTTTAACGTAAACCTTCAGCAGTGAGCCCTTGAGGTGGAGAAACAGTTTCGAAAAGCATACCAGTCTGTACCTGCGCTCATTGTAGGGAACCTGGTGCAGACATTCATCGACGGCATCCGCGACCTTGAAGTCAGAGCTGCTGTAAGGCTCGGGCACCACGAGACGCTTAAGGACGCCTTGACCCATGCACTGGAGGTGGAAGCCGTGCGGCAGGATCATCGTGCCCATTGCGTCAGAGAGGTTGCAGCAGCTACAGTTCGGGATCGCAATAACGGCTACAGCCCTAGGTACTACGGCTGTGGGGAAAGGGGCCATCTTCGATCCAGCTGCTCTAAGCGAACTGTAGAAAGGGAAGGTGATCGATCTCGAGAGGGTAGTGCGGCTAACAGCACCGCCCAGCTGCAGCATGGAAACGAGAGAAAAGCCAGGACTGCGGGGCGGGTGAGAATTGTTCTGCCGCCGAGATCGGAAACGATTGTGCCAGTTAGACTTCCTCGGAATCCTGGGCAAACTCTTCGTTGTGTACTCGTGGAAAGGGTAAACAACCTTCTAACCTTCTATGGAAAGTGCCTCGAACCTTGGTCAGAACCGAAGACATCTCAGGAGTACGTGTGCTGAACCTTTGTGATCAGGAACAGATTATAGAAAAAGGCACATTGGTTGGTACTAGTGAGGAAGTGGATTGGTTGCGTCGGTGCCAATATCTATCGACTGGGATCCCTAGCAAGGATGGACAAACGAGAGTGACCACACTTTTAAAAGACTGTCTCAGCATTCTCTCCCCGAATGAAATGGTCAAGGCGAAGAAGTTGTTACTCAAGTACGCCAATGTTTTCTCGTTAAACGAAGCTGACATAGGAAAGACTGGCTTAGTTCAACACAAAATAAACACAGGACAAGAATTGCCTATTCGTCAGGAGCCAAGAAGATTGCCTGTAGCACGTGAAAAGGAAGTGGAAACCATAATTGAGGGAATGGTGAAGGATAGTGTTATTGAACCTTCATTTAGTCCATGGTGTTCACCTGTGGTGCTGGTAAAGAAGAAGGACAGCAGCATGTGGTTTTGTGTTGACGTTACGAAGAAGGACAGCTATCCCTTGCCAAGAATTGATGACACGCTGGACATGCTTACAGCCGTAAAGTGGTTTAGTACGCTGGACCTGAAAAGTGGCTACTGGCAGGTTGAAATTGACCCTAAGGACAAGGAGAAAACTGCATTCTCCACAGGAAAGGGTCTGTGGCAATTTAAAGTAATGCCGTTTGGATTGTGCAATGTTCCAGCAACGTTTGAAAGATTGATGGAGCTTGTACTTACCGGGCTAATTGGAGATGCCTGTCTGGTCTACTTGGATGACATCATCATCGTAGGCCGTACGTTTGAGGAACACCTTCAAAACCTAGAACGCGTGCTCATGAAGATCCAGAGTGCCAACCTCAAGTTGAGTCCGAAGAAGTGCTCACTATTCAAACGGCAAGTTACCTTTTTGGGGTATGTAATGTCGGAAGAAGGTATCAGCACGGATCCAGAGAAAATTGCCGCTGTCAAGGATTTGCCGGTTCCAAAAGACAAGACACAGGTTAGAGCATTTTTGGGTTTGTGCTCTTATTATCGGCGATTTGTGAAGAACTTTGCAGATATAGCCAAACCTCTGCACAAGCTAACCGAGGAGAAGCGACATTTCTGCTGGGATGAAAGTTGCGATATTGCATTCCAGGAGCTCAAGAACCGTCTGTGCAAAACACTTATCTTGGGGTACCCTGATGCGGGCAAGGAATGTATAGTTGACACAGACGCAAGTGATATAGGACTTGGCGGTGTGTTGTCTTAACGGAATGGTGATCAAGAGATTGTGATAGCGTACTTCAGCAAGTCGTTGTTAAAGCCCTAGTTCTAGTAGCTTATATGGAGATAAAGACTAATAAGTTTTAGTTTTTAATTCTCAAGTTTTGTATAATTTAATAAAACAAAGTTTAAAAAAACGTACGTACTATTTTTATTTAATGACTTTTTAGGGAATACGACTTTTTATTTACCCATCGTACGATCGTTTATTTAAAATGTCTGGCAACACTGACTGGAGGTGACAGTGACAGTGAGGGTTTTGGCGGGAAATTGACCGGCGGCGGTTTGCTGCTCCTGTATTATTGTTTAAATAATGGTTTGAAGTGGACTTTGATATGTAAAAGTGTTGCGATTTTGTGTATTAAGTGTCTACGCATGTGAACTATTAGTGGAAACAGTGAAACAAGTGCTCTGATGGTGATGGATTCTCAAGATAAGCTGTTTGTTTGCATAGGCACCTTTAGATACCATCGCCAACTATCAGCTGTCTGCTGGATCAAGTTGCCGCCAAAATCTCCCAAGAACTGCACAATGTGACGCATCAAAATATTGTGAAGCAGTATACTATGAAGGAGTGGGATAATTACAATAAACCGAATAAAAATACTTAAGACTTGGCCTAAAGGTCTAGATACCAGGCCATAAACTCCAAAAAAAAAAACAGTGACAGTGACTGCCCATGTCCAGTGCCCACTGACAGCTGACACTTAATTTAGGATTGAATTATTTCTCAGTGTTTGCTTTTGGGAAAAAATCCGTAATATTTATTAATCATGGCTTTTAGAACTACAGCAGTTGTTTGTAGTAAGCATATTAAATCAAATTACTATATAAAATATGTCTTAATAATCGGAGCAAGTCATAATTTTAATCGTGTTATATAACCCCTTTTCTTTTACTCAATAATATGAAAATATATTTTCAGGTAGCTTGAAGAAATGGGCATATAATCTATCTGGTTTCAACAAATACGGTATGTTCTACTCATTTTATATTACTATTCCCATTACGATACTTATCTAGTTTAATGTTCCGTCGGTTATAGTTAGTGGAATATTTAGAGACAATGGCAGGAAACCCGACGTTATGATTTGGGAAAAGGTAAGGTACGACTTTCCATTGACGTCCGTCGAGTTGGGGTTTGATATTTTTACAGAAAGGTTACATTATTATAAGCACACGCAGTTTCAACATGCGGATATGCGTACTTTTGAGAAAAAATTGTTGAAAATCAATTATTTTTGCAATATTTATGCCAATCCCCATTGACATAGCTTATTGGTGACCTGAATTTGGTTAAAACCAATCTTACCAGCCTCGAACACAGATGTAAAGTAGCCAGCCTTTTGGTTTTCTACAGGATGCATTTTGGAGTGTGTGCAGGAATTACATAATTTAATTCCACCATCGGACAACCAGACGTTCGGCCAGTCTCCACCCTTTTGTTGTTGACTTACCACGCATTCGAACCAAATGGTTTGCCACATCGTTCATCATGCGTACAGAAAAGGAGTGGAATAAGTTGCCAGCATCTGTCTTTCCATCCGATTACAGTGTGGGTGACTTCAAGGCCAGAGTGAATAGGCTTTTGTTAAGTCAGTGCGCTTCACCATCTTAGGCTACATCACCACTTACCATCAGGTGGGATTGTAGATAAGCGCTGGCTTAGTAGAATATAAAAAAAAACGTACTTTTTGAGAAAAAAAATATTGGCAATCAACTATTTTTGCAATATTTATGTCAATTGCTACCGTAAAACTGACGCTATTTTGTATTGTCGATTATCGTTGTCAGTAGGGATGTCGATTCTTTCCGAAAAAGTTTATTGTAAGCTGATGTATTGATTCACAAAAGATCGATTTCTATATATCTATATTTTTTATGTTTGCATTTATAATGTAAATATAAATCCATTTTATGAGAAAAAAAACTACCTTCATCATAAATAAATAGGGGGACTGATTCAAAAGGATTTCTGTATCTATTTTGAGACTGCTACGTCTCTGGTGCTGCAGGAAGAGCAGCCTCTACGCCTTTGCGTAACAAATCACAGGCATCGTTCCTCGGCTTCGCAGCTTCGGCTACAGCTCGTCTGATGCCAACGATTTGTTACAGCAGGCGGAGGTTGCTCCTGCTACGTGCCTTCGGCTCTATAAAACCAGTCTAGGACCCAGACTCGTACCAGGTGGAGTCTGGGTCAATCAATTCGGTTCTTTGACATAAGTTGAACCTAACCTATTTTATTTGTTACCTGCCCTAATAGGTACTGTTAAAATAAAACAAATTTCAATAAGAGATCATTTATCATGGTATCTTTCTTGTTTTTCATAAAATGGATTTATATTTACATTATAAATGCAAACATGAAAAAATATAGATATTTTAGAAATCAATTTTTTGTGAATCGATACATCAGCTTACAATTCGAATCGATTTAAAAATCGATCTTTTTCGGAAATAATCGACACCCTACTATCGACGACAATGACATTACAAAATGGCGCCAGTTTTACGGTAGGATTAGACGTAAACATTGCAAGAATAATAGATTTTCAATATTTTTTTTTTCTCAAAATTACGCGTTTCCGCATGTCGAAACTTTGTGTGTATGCTATTATAAGCATGTAACCTATTGTAACCTTTCTGTAAAAATATGTATCCACACCCAACTCGATGGACGTCAATGGAAAGCTAAGCCAAAGGTAAAGCTAGACCTCTGATGTGGGATGCTATCTCAGGGATTAGAGCCTGGGCAGCATCAGAGGTGGCTGTACTGAGTAAATAGCACATATAGTCACTTTTGACAACTCCTATATTATACTGACTATGTTTGTGGCATTTGCTATATGGACTATTGATCTGTGAAGTCTACATACAGTGAAGTTTCTAAAGGAACTGTACCTACATCTAGTTGTTACCCTTGAATACAAGAGGGCTGGTTCTATCCTTGCCCAAAGACTTAGTATTGTATTCAGTGAGGAAACAAAGCCAGCATTCTTGACACTAAACTGCGAAGAGTAGGATCGTATGATAATTTTATTTGTTTGTTTTTTAATATAATAATTAATTTTTAAATTAATTTAATATTAGTTATTGTTTATTATTGTTACAATTATTATAAATAAAATGAATTTTACTTTTAATTTTAGATTAGAAGTGTATGTATTTAAATGAAACTAGTTTTTACCTGATTTTATCATGTATATTAGCTTATTTTATAGTCCCGACGTTTCGAGTACTTTATAACATCCATGGTCATGGAGGTGACTGAGCTGTTTCAGGTCCCAATGTTATAGTTAAATATGGCTTCCTTTAGTTAAAAATTATTAATTTTTGGTCCGATCTATGCAGAATGAGCTTATAGCATTTTGAAGTCTTGCAGTTGTATGGTTGGATTGGGATTTTGTATATGTGATAGCGTCATGCTGCAGCTATATATATCTGGTATAGTTGTAGCACGAATGGGACAGCTCGACCGGGGAAAGACCACGCTCTCACAGAATATCAGTGTAAAAGAGCAGCTTAACGCTGCTGCTGTGTTACGTATGGTGAGTGTAGAGATCCGGAGACCACTTTTTCTGAAAACGAGGTATTCCTTCTTAGTCCTCATGGGTGACAACACATTTGATTTGTAATTGAGGATAGATGTTGATGTCTATGAGCCATAGCAACCACTTACCATCAGGTGGACTGTGTGCTCGTTTGTCACTCTTATCCTATAAAAATAAAAAATAATTTTTGATTTCAATAGCCTCACAAATCATCCTTGGAAGGAATCAGTGTTCTTTAGCAAGGAGTTGTGCTTATCAAATCTGATGTAGTGATAGGGGTGATACTGTATGTGTTCACAGACTGCAGACTTCCCATAGTGTCAATTCTTCACATCAGCTATGTAAAGAATCGATGCTCCGGGTAACCCACCCAATAATAACCCACATAGAAGGACACTCTTTATTTTTTTAAGGTTTACTTCGTGATGACTGCCTTTATGAAAATGAGGATGTCCAAGAAGCTCTACGTCGCTTACCTGCTCACGTAGTTGATGAACGCAATTTTCGCATAATCCGAGCTGTTCAACTTTCCCTTCAAAAAACCGTTTTACCGAAAGAAGAATGGACCAAATATGAAGAAGACAAGCTCTATCTTACACCTATAGTAGAACAAGTAAAAAAAGAACGACTTGAACGAGAACAATGGGAAAAGAACTACTAAAGCAGTGTGTTATGTGGGAAATGTCAACTATGTGTAATAAATATTCATTAGCTTATTATTTATCTTGTTTGTTATAAAACTAATTGTTCTCAGATAAATTTACCTGCTATGAGACTTAGATATAATAGGCATATATGCTTAATATAATAATTAATATAGAGATTTTAAAGGTCAAATAAAAAAATAACATTTAAACATTCCTTTTTTTAAATAAACAATGTGTTTATTGTGATTGAAGGTTTGATGCCTTATGCCACATTTAACACATCAAAATTGTGCATGCTGTTGTTTTGAGAATAACCATAATTTTTACAGTACTAGTGCACTGAATCAATGTTTTTGATTTACATTAATTCAGATTCTTTGCACAGCATTTTATGAACGAGCGATACGCCCCGGCTTGGCACGATTGATTTCTGGGTCTTGACAACAACGCCACTCTACCGGGTCCAATTGTGAATATAAAGCTTCGCCCGAAATGAGGCGAAACCCTCGCGGGACGCGATTCGCTTGCGCCGATTGCGTCAGCTAACTTGTATGGTGTTCACATTGGCGCGAATAGTCGCACGTGCTGCAGCGAAATATACGCGAGATAGTGCCTGATTTTTCGAAATGCCGTTGAACCTTGAATTATTTTTACAAAAATTAAAAGAAAACAAGATTCTATACGACCTCAGCCACGAAGACTATATAAAGACTAAGATAAAGAACAAAAAATGCTGTTCAAACTTCAAACCTTATAGTAAGGTAACGGTGGTCCTGGACCCGACCCGATAATTCCCAGAATATTACTGTCATCTACATCCGACCTCAATAATCTATTATCGTCACTGCGTTGCTAGCGATACGTTTAGCCAGCAACGCAAATTTGAACAGTAAAAATTATAGAGCACCTAATTTTTAAACTTTGCACCTAATAGCACCTAAAAAGCCTCTTATTTTGGCTTGTTCTAAATGCAAATTCCTAACTTTGCGTTGCTGGTGAGAGAGAGCTGATTTTGGAGGACGCACTTTGCATCGATATCTCAGTGGCAGGTGACTTAAAGGAGCTTGACCATGGCTATTTCAAAAGAGCTCATAAAAGACGTTTGTAGGGTACAGTATGTGTATGTAGCACAGTATCGCTGTTATTTTATGTGTTTACAAGTGTAGTTTGGTTTTTTATTTTGATTACTCTTTTGGTTTCTACAAGAAGGGCCGCCAAGCAACAGTGCATATCTACATTTCAATCTCTAAATAATACAGAGACAATATAATTACATCCTGTGAGTCATTCAATAGAATAGAATAGAATATTTTTTATTCAATATAGATCACATGTGTAATTCTTATTGAAAGACATTTTTTACCTTACCACAAGCAAATTTTACATTAATGGTTGTACAAACTATATAAGTACAAAATTTATTTTAGAAACAGCTTGGAAGCGACCACCTCAGTCCCAGGGGTTATTATCAACCATGTATTCATTTATAATATAATAACCCTTTTTATACAGTTTCAACTTAACAAAACATTTAAACTAGGTAATAGAGAAAGCCTGTACACTTTCCGGGACCTTGTTGTAATAGCGTATACTTTGCCCCAAGAATGAATTACTGACTCTGTGGAATCGTGAAACTGGTATCATTAGTTTGTGTTTGTTCTAGTGTTTACAGAATGTATATCACTTTTTTTACTAAAACTACCTTTGTTTTTGTGAACATACATTCCAGATTAGTCTTCAGATATGACAAAGTAGCCTTCTTTTTAGGGTTTCGTAGTTAAACAACAAGAATTGTCCGTCCGTTCGTCCGCGGTTTTAGTCGGGGACAGTTATAGATATTAATCACGCCTATAAAGTTATGAAATAAAATCTTGATTTTTGTTTTGGTACCTCCCATACATGTGATTTTTTTACCCGTCTATTCCATCCTGTATTCCAACAACACTGTTCGATAGGTCTTTAAAAATATTGGGTGATTCAGCTGTCCGTTTGCGAAATATTTAGTTTTAAAGTGGTATTTTTTATTAGAGTCACCCGTGGCTTTCAAGTCACCTGTGGCACGTCAAACCGTGGCTTTTGGAAATGTGAAAAGTATGCGCGATAGTAGTACCTATATATAATGAAGTTAAAATGAAAACTGTCACAGCTAAGTAGACTTTACAAGTCAACGAGCAATAGCCGAACAATTTATAAAATACACTTTAATTAGTAAAAATTTCGTTACAATTCCATAGAAAATGAGCTAAAACTAGCTGCATTATAACTTTGTAATTTTATTGTGCAACTAAATAAATTGAAAATTAAAAAAACCCCAAACAAAAAGAGCTGATCTTTAAACGGCTGAAAAGATTTTCTTGAATCACAGCTAAGAACACTCTCGATCAAGCCACCTTTCAAACAAAAACAGACTAAATCTAAATCGGCTCGACGGTTCGGGAGCTATGATGTCACAGACAGGCACACAGACGTTAAACAGATAACACCTCTCTGTGTACGTCGGGGGTGAACAATAACTATTTTAGAAGAAAACGACTTCTGCATTACTACTATAGTTTTACGTTTTTTTTTTTGCGGCGTAGGCAGAGAGGACCGATCGGCAAGAGACCCATCCTACGTAGTACTATTATTTAATCTGTGCCCATCCTAACACTAGGTACCACTTTCGCTTATTTTTTAGTTAGTAGTTATTGTAAACCTAGTTTTTTTCGTGATACACTTAGTATATACGCATGCGACCCTCGGGCTATGGTCTAAACTAACCAGAGGGTTGCCCCTAAACTTTAGGCCAATGGTGGTTTAGGGGAAGGTTCGTTATGGCCGTGTACCTACATATATCTTAGGGTTGCACAGTGCCGAGAATTAATAGATGGATAGGGAACTGTGACCATTTTTGTACGGACTTGGCATGTGAATAATTTGATGTAGATTGAATTATTTTCAAAATCTAAAAGTTTTTTCAATAGGTACCACTCCCTATACTGCTTAAAAAAGAAGTCCTTCAGTTACCATCGTTTTATTTAGGCGTATTTTAGTCGTTATAGCGGTCAAACTGCGAACTCACTTGATTCATAGTATCAAGTAGTATAAAGAGAGTATAGTATAAAGAAGGCTCATAATAACTTCATGTATTGACGGACAACTATGGAATCCTACATTGTACGTGGCCCGACACTCACTTGGCCAGGATATTTTTGGAGTTGTTTGCAGATGCCAATGGGCTGCAGTTAGCACTTACCATCAAGTGGACTGTGAGTTCGCTTATCATTTTAATTTTATATTAATCTAAAAAAAAAATTCTCGGTGTTTCTCCCCGTGCCTGCGACGGAAACACGTAAAGCCGCTAATCTACGCCTGATCTCTCTCCGCCAAGTTACCGAACAAGTTATGTCCACAGGCTTACAATATGATACAATCCTGTATCACAGACAATCCAATATGTTAGGCAACAGAGACATTGCTTTTTGCATCCGCACCCGCAAATACGGAACTTTGCATTGATTTAGACATTCGCAATAAATGCGGGTGTAGTGTTTTAAGTTGAGAAAATTAAAGAAGAGAGAAAATTAAAAGAGAAATTAAATTGAGGCTAGCAAGTGGTACGTATCCTTCCGCGTGTAAGTAGGATACTTTCGCTACAATGCAACAATTTTAAAATGTTATTAAAAATTAAACTTCAGGGCGTTTTCTATCCACCATCCGCGACGTGTATTCTGGCCTAAGACATTTAAGTAGTAGTAGTATATTTTTAATCTCCTTGGTTCTGGCAAGAAGCGCTGCCATTTGTTACCCAAAACGTTATGGTTTTAGTAGCAGACTTAACTTCTTCGTACAGACTTAAAATTTTAATAGGAAACAGTACACCTACATTCGTTTGTTGCCTTTCTTTTCCTGATTACATAATTATAATAAAGTATTAGGTACTGGTTACTGCCGTAAGACGCACCTTGTCTATGTTCAGCCGATTCACTCCGCTTACCGGGTTTGAATCGCAGATTTAAATATACCACGAATTAGTTTTAATTATCCGACTAGGTCGTGCATCTCTTACCAAGTCATCACTCCATCTAGCAGGGGACACCCTACACTTTGATTATCGGTACGAGACTGCCACTTTACTGTGGATATCCTCATTACGTCTTGCAGTAAAACTGAAGGCATATCACCGGCCCATATGGTCACTGATGAGTTATAAGACGAGCTAATTCAATCGTATCGAAAGGGCTAAATTTCGATCAGTTAAAACTTTAACAATTAGGGTGATTGTAATCCAATATTACAGCTCGGTAGCACAGTGGCTTAGCGTTTGGTTGGCGCCGTAGGATTGCGTAATGTTTGTAGGCCCATAAAAAATTATTCCGGATTTGGATTTTTCTTCACATACTTACAATTTATGTATAATATAAAACGCCATCACTATAAAGAAGAAAATCCAATATTAAGAAAAAAAAAGACGAGGACTTTTTCATAAAAATCGACGTCAATTTAAGTAATGCTTCTAGTTAGATATATGTACTCTTTCTTCCTTCACTAAATGACAAAAGAAAAAGATACAGGTGTAGAGATAATTAATCTATAACTTAGCAAGTTATAATCAGTAATACGGGTTGTTACCACCTTCAGTTGCTGGGGGCTGACGTTTTCTCCTAGCTGCAAAGAAATTTGGATGTTCTCGCAAAGGTGCGACGATACACCGCGCAAAGCAACCGTCGCGGTGTACCCATCGCGACGGTGCTTTCACTATATAAAGAAGTCCGTTTGTACATTATTATGAGTATGATTATGATTATGAGAGTATTACTGCCATAATACCTATATGAGCTGGTGCTGCAAAATGCCACCTAACGGCTTTACACCCAATGGAAAGCGGGCTAAGAGGCTCCTGGTGACACTAATATGGTTTGTTATTGTATGCAGTGGAATAATTTGCTAGAGTAGAATATAAGTTTTTTTTTTATAGAATTTGGGTGACAAACGAGCACACAGTCCACCTGATGGTAAGTGGTTGCTGTGGCCC